GGGTCTTTAGCAATTACCTTGAATTACAGAAAAGGCTTTTTCATTTCTGCAGAAATGGCCCTTCCGACTTCCAAAGGGATTGAATTGATTTGATAGATTGCCTTGGAGAGTATTGTCATCTTTACAATGTTAAATCTTCCAAGCCATGATCTTGGAATGTCTTTCCATCTATTTATATCTTTTCAAATTTTCTTAGCATATTAAAAGAAATATAGAGTATAAGTGTTGTACTTTCTTTGATAAATTCATTCCTATGTATATTTTCCTTTGGATGCTCATATGAGTGGAATTGCGCCACCTGAAATGATATATTGAAGTCCTCATGGCCAGTACCTGTGAATGTGACATTTTTGGAAACAGGGCCTTTGCAGATGTAATCAGGTTAAGTTAAGACCCTAATGATTAGAAAGTGCCCTAATCCAGGGTTTCTGTTGTCCTTATCAAAAGCAGAGAATAGGGACATTAGGAGAAAGTCATTGACGACAGGGATACATGAGGAGATGTCAGCTGTGTGAAGATGGAGGCAGAGATTGGAGTCAGGCTGCTGCAAGTCTAGGAGTGCCTGTGGCCAGCAAGAGCGTAGAGGCAAGGAAGGAGTTTTCCATAGAGCTTGCATAGCAAGCATGGCCTTGCTGACACCTTGATTATGGATTTCTAGTCTCGAGAATTAATCTGTTTTCATCCTTCTGGTTTGTGGTAATGTTATCGTAGTTCAAGGAAACTAATAAAAGGTGCAAATGCAGAGTGTTTACAAGACTGAGCTCTGGTATCCGGCATCCCAGCCTCATTCCTGGATCTTCCCTTCTTTGGTTCTGTGACTCTGAACATGCTGCAGGGTCTCTGAACCTCAGCTGTCTCATCAAGTAAATGTAAAGGAGATTAGTAATTTCCTCATGACGTTTATATGAGGATCAAATTATTTATTACACTGAAAACATCACAAAACTGAATGTCACCTTGTTATCTGAAGGTATTGAACATCATTATAGAGCTATTTCTGTGGAGATACCATGAGACTCAGCAACACTGTGATCCACATCTGTCCTTACAGTACTGAGGGGGCTGGGTACAGATAGGATCCGTGGGGACGCACACTGTGTCCAGCCTGAGGACAGAAGCAGAGGGTGAAGGATTGGGCTATGGAGGCCCCTGCCCTGTCACCACTACCTCCAGGGGCACTTTCTATTGGGAGCATTTTTAAAGCCTGCAGTCATTGTGCACATGCAGTGATATGGGACTGCTGTCTTGCTCTAGGATCTCAATATGCTTGGTTATCCTGGAGCTCAGAGTGTCCCTTTTCTCCAGGCATGGATGGCCACATGCTCATTGCTGTGGAAACAAGGCTGGAAAATCTGGGATCTTGGTCCAGGCAGAGCCCTGTAGGAAATGGGAGTCTCTCCCCAAGGGGCCTCACTTTCTTCTCTTTTCCAGGAGTATTGTGTAAGAGAAGGACCTACTATTTGTGGGGTTTCAGTTATTTCCGGGACTGTCAGTGGAGCTTTTCTTCTGTTGGGATCCTTTCTAACACTAGAATATCATCTCTACTTTAAAGTCGACAGCACAAAGGCTTAGAGATATTGTGTCTGTTCTTCAAGGTCAAATCTCCAGTAAATTTCCATCTGAGAAAGGAATTCAGATCACCCTGACCACAGAGTTTGGCACCTCCTTACACAGCTGCCTGCCTTGAAATAACAGAGACTGGGGGTGAGACAGAGACCAGGACAATGAAGCTGGGAGCAAGGGTCCTGCCAGCCACTCAGGACGATGCTTGCATAGAACTGAGTTGGGAGGTGGTGAGCTGGAATGCACAAGAGATAGGAGACTGACCTATTTGTAAACCAATGGTACTCCTAAACTAGTGTGTTTTAGGCAAATTACTTATGACCCTGGATCATCTTTGCAAAGGAGAAGATGAACTCCAATTAATAGCTATGTGGTGAAGACTCAGAGATGAAGTGTGTGCCGCACCCAGCACAGGTCCTGGCACCCAAAAAGAAGTCAGGCAGTGCTGGTCAGTACCACAGTATGCAATAACTGGATTTCCCCTTGCTCTGTGCAGGGCTGGGTTGAGCTGTGTGATCAGACAGGGCTCCAAACTGAGTTAATGTTCTGTGTCACCATTTTGACATTTGAACACAGGGCCCTGCATTTTCATTTAGCACTGTGCTCCACAAATTATGTAGCTGTCCTCACCTCCATCACTTTGTTTTTGTATTTGGTTGGCTCATTTTGGTTCGCCAACTTTTTCTTATGTCTCAGCTGAGTGGAGTGGAAAACGGGGAATCCCTGGACGTGGGAACTGGGAGAGGGATCAAATTTACACAAATGAAAGAGGAAGGCAGCAGGGGAGGATACAGGCTTGATCTGCTTCAGATTGCAGTGTGTGTGTGAAATGAACTTTTTTCTCTCATTTGCTTCTATTTACAAATTCACCCGTCCAATCAGTCAAAATTTATCTACAAATATCAACCACATTCACAAAATGTGCCAAGAATGAAAACTAAAATATGTGCTTACCTGACTTGGATCTTGTTCTTGGTCTCTACTAGTCTTGGGGATGTGATGGACATCAAAAAATTAGTTACAAAATATATTTAATTATACACTATGACATGTGATATGTGGAATAAACTGCTGTAGATTGGCAATTAGATAACAGAGGATCTTAACTAGTCTGAGCATCATGGAAGGTCAACTTCGAGGAGGTGAAATGAGAGGATAGAACTGAGAGATGTGGAGGAGTCTTAGCTGAATTGCACAGGAGTGTGGAGAATACCTGGAAAAAGAAAGGAGATAGATAAACGTCCCCATTTGAAAAGGATCATAGCTGCTGAAGGCTATGGGGACCATCTTGTCCTAGAATCAGGGCTGGGCTGATTTCCCTGCGGCCCACACCACTTCCACTCCAGGAAACACAGCATGGGCATGTGAGGACCCAGGCACTGCCCCAGCTCAGCTCGTCTAGTTCAGTGAAGATGAGGGGAACAGATAGAATCAGACAGAACAGATTCACAGAACAGGGCATGTGAGAATCTCTCACATAGGTTTTTGTAGGAAAGGAGCACTACTTCTTTACCATGAGCTCTATCTGATTCCCCATCAGTGGGGTCCACGAAAAGACCGGACATTCTGAGTGTAGTTCAGTCTGGAACCAACCCCAAGGATATGACCCCAAACCACTACCTGATGGAGTTAAACACTGAAATCACCTCCAAGTCCATATTCGTTGGATTCATCCCAATTCAGATACTTGGACCTTTATGGGTTCAGGCACTCACATGAGCCCACTTTAAATTCTTAATTGCATATTGTCTAGAATTGGCAAAAGTGTTTGTTAAGGGACAGAGTTTCCCACCTGAAAAGTGGCTCATTGACTGACTAGATTCAGTTGAGGTAATCAGGCAGGTAGGGGTTCATGTCTTGAGGAGAACACAATGCCAACGTATGAAGTATTTGCTATAACAAACCAACAGTCACTTTGTTAGGAATTAGTCACTAGTATAGGATGTGGTTCTCAACCCTCCACTTCAACCTAACTCACTAAATTGTATGGAAAATAAAAAGAGTTTGTAGGATAGAAATGCACTGTCTACCAGTAATGACAAATTGATTTATGAGTCATCAGATGAAAGTCGAGAAGAACGTTGCTAGTATTCTAGAAGATTCTGTGGTTTCCATCTTGAACAAAACCATCTAACCTCATCTAATTTGTAATCACCATCATGGGTTTGATGGAATTCTTTTCTCTCCTTTATTCATAGAATTTATCTTAGGTATACACTCCTAAAATAATACATAATGTTTCATTTTCATCATGAGGTAAATGAGAGAACACTAAACACATATTTTTTATAATCATCTTACATTTATTGACTATCATGTTTGAAGATGGATACACACGACCATTTGGAATTTTAGTTTGTGCATTTTCACTGACACATAATGTTTGATTTTCTACATAGAACACCAAATTCTGTCTTTTCTTGATGCATGTAGTCTTAAAATGATTTTGACTAATATGAAGAACTCTCTTGTCAATGGATCCTGGTGCATATGTACACATTTTCTCTAAGGTATATGCTTAAAGATCATAGCTGTGTGTCTCTTACTTTAACTAGATAAGTATAATAATCTATTCTCTAAATTGATGGATGTACTTTGCACTCCTACAAGTAATGAATGAGAATTCTGTGTGCTCACTATTCTCTCCCACAACTGATATTACCATTTTTCTCTTTGCATCTCACCTGAATGTGCTGGAATATTGGTTTTGTGATTTCACTGAAACTGTGCCACAACATTGTGGTAGGAATGATCATTATACATAAAATACAAGGAAACTTAGGTGCATTTTGGGGCTGTCAGAGTGGAATTTAAGGTGTCCTATTGGTGTGGACTGTTTTGTGATAGTCACTTCTGTGCATCAGTTTCCAACTCTGCATCAGGGACTTCAAATTCATCCCTTGAAGCTGGTCATGAAGGGATTATATATACCAGAGAAACTGCAAAATGCCTTGAATAAGTCTTTATAACAATGGGTTTTTCAGGGGCAGTAAGAACCGTGCTATCACTTCAGGCAATAATGTCTTGATTCCAAGTGACGATATTTCTGAAGAAACTACACAGGTAGCGCCCGATGAAAAGTGAAGGGCTTGTGGTGTCCAGAGAGGGTGTTAGAGCATCATTTGGACATATCTCTTTCAGGCTGGATCTGTGTTATGCCAATTTATTGAAAAATTAAGATAGATTGCATGCTCTGAATGAACAGACGGAAACTCCTTAATGCACACCAAGGTTTTGTGGTAATTAGATATTTAGAAAAATGATTTATATGAAAATAAATGTACAGGAGCATGAAAGTGTAAGGAGTTGTGGACCCAAATCTGCCACGAGGGATATATGCTAATTTCACAGAGAGGGAGAAAGGAACTTGTCAAGATAACTCAATAGTGGTTAGAAGGAAACATCCACACTTTAACGGCAGAAGAGTCCAGAAAGTGTCCCTGCAGATGAACAATGATTCCTCCATCTCGCAATGACCTACAGACAGTTCACACAGCTTATGCCTCAGATGCTCTTCCAGAACCTCCTGGGTGCACAAGATTTATTCCCAAGACTCTACCTCTCTGAATAGCACATTGTTCTCTCTTGTGTTTACCTCCTCGCTGCATCCTGGGGTCTTCTCAGGCTATGTCGAGCCTGAAATAGCAGAATCCCGAGGACCAGCAGGATCAGGGCAGCCACGCCCATCCGGATGAGATTCTCCACTGTGTAATCTTGGGGATGTGAGGCTAGGAATTGTGGACAGGAAGGACACAGAGGACAGGGCAAAGCGAAATCACCCCAGGATTCCTGGAAGTCCACCCAGGCACCTGCCTCCCCTTCTCACGACTTGACTCTGCACAAGCCCCGTAACTGAGAATTTTTCCTACTCACCATTCTTGGAATCTGACTTGTTTTGTGATGGGCTGATGGTGTCAGCTGCTTCTGAGAATCATAAAAAATTGGGGATGGATGAGGAGTTGATGCTACTCAAGCCTTTCCCCTGGGCCCTGTGTTCTTAGAATTCCCTCTGTTTCTCATGACATAACTGTTACGCGGCCCCTTCATAAACCCTCCCTCTGCTGTAGAAGGATCCCTTCTGTTCTCATTGGATTCTTTTCAGCCTCCCTTTGTTTTCTGAATTTTGACTTTGCTTCTGAGTTACTTTGGAACAGAGTTTGAATGTCCCCAAGAGCTCAGGATTGTTGAGAAAAGTGGTCTCCCAATACAGAAATAGTTGAGTTCTTGTATGATCTCTGTTCATTCTGGGATACGGATCATGTAAGCTAACTCTTTCAGATATGAGAGATTCTATTTATTCAACAACTGAAGAACCAGGATCCATGGATGAAAGGTTGGTCATACATATGTGAGAGAAGAGAGAAAATTCAGCCCATACAGCCATACAGCACAGATTGGGTTAATTACTAGATAAATTATGTGATACGGAGGCAGGTCTGATCTATACAGTGTCACTGTGAAGGTCACACTTGGAGATGGTGTATAAGCTGATTCCTGAATAGAAGAGGGAGCCTGAGAAAAGCCATGTGAAGACCCAGACAAGGTGGGTCACAGGCTACAGGAAAAGCAGAACCCCAGAAAGATCTCAGTCTGTTCTTCCATGAGGAATGAAGTCATGTCTGTGGGATGTAAGGAGGATCCAGAGGAGAAGTGAGAGCTGAGATTCGGGTGTTTGGTGCATTCAAGACATATAAGAAACGACAGGACGGAGGAGAGAGGTTCCATAACCATCATCATCCTCATCCTCATTCTCATCCTCATCATCATTCTGTCTCCCTCTCTCTCTGCCTCTCTCTCTCTGTCTCTCTCTCTGTCTCTCTCTCTCTCTTTGGAAGAACTCTGGAAACTCTATAAGATTTCAAGGAGAGAAGACTATTCATTCGATTTTATATTTGAACTTTTTCACACTAAAATGCTGGGTAAGAAAGTGAGTTACAAGAGTGTGTGAATTTCTCAGCTTCTTTGGTATTAAAATCATGTAAATGTTAATGGCACTCAATAAACACTAAATGAAAGAAAAAAAGAAGATAACCTCTACCCTCTCCTTTTCAAATATCCAAAACTGGGAAAGTCCACCTTTCTGGTCTTCAAAGCCTTAAGGAACAGGAAAATCACTGGCATTATAAAATTCAGTGAGCACAGAAAAACAGGTAAGCCTGTAAATCTATTTTAACCAGTTTTAACATAAAAAAAGAAAAAAAAACAAGTTGTAGATCAATTCTAATTGTACATCCCTATATAAAAATTCTAAATAGGTTTATACAAGTCAGAAAGTGTAAATTAATAATAGACGTCATTCAGTGGGGTTAAAATCCAAATCTTTGATACCAAGAAGTCTTTTAAATATATCTCACCATGGCTAAAATTAAAGAGAAAAAATACAAGAGATGAACAATGGTCCAGAAAAAATTCCTAATTTCAATAAAGAAAAAACTATTTTTTTCCTAATACAATCTGAACATAACATATAATTGGACTGACATGGATAGATCAATAGTGTTATATATTTAAAATATATAGATTTTTTGATATGTTTGCCTTAAAATAATTTGGGCTAAAAATTAAGATGTTTTCTTAAAGTGACACTCAGGTACATCTTCACATTTTACTCTGTCATCATTATCATATGGTATTTGATGCAAATAAAACAGGTACACAATGTGGGAATAAGTGAAATTTCAATGTCCTTGAGGTTGATAAAATTATTATCAGTAAATCCTAGGGGATCAATTAGAAAACAATTGAGAGGTGGAGGATCTGTAGTAAGTTGATAGGACCTCAAATTAGTATAAACAAACCAATATTACTGTTATCTATATTTAACTACTATTTAGAAATTATAAAGAAATCAAAGATCTTACTTTGCATTAATAAAGCCATTCAACAAATCTGAAGCTGTGAGTGTACACAATTTTATGAATAAAAATTCAAAATGAATCTGAAGTCATTAACAAACTTTCCTTTTAAGAATTTTTTATAAGAAAACTTCATATTAATATAAAGTTATTCTCCATAATGAATGTATAAATTTAAACTAATCCCAACGAAGACAATAGTGGAATTTCCTTTTTTTAACTCATGAATCTTTATAACTTAAATTAGTAAATTTATGTAGGCAAACATTGCTATAAAAGTTCTCAGAGAAAGAGAGAGCAGTAACAGAGAAGTATGCACAGAAAATGCAGAGTGGATGTGAACTGCACACAGATGTGCTGTGCAGTGATCCCATAAGTGACCCCAGTGAGCCATGCATGGTTGTTCCTTAGTCTGAGGTGTGCACTGAGTGGCTGGAGGCCTCCAGGTGAGCACAGGAGGGCCATGCAGAGCGGTACCCACAGGTGGGGATGCTTCTCTCTATAGGAGAGAGTCTGGTGTGGGCTCCACCTGCACACACAGCAGATCCCACCTTGGCCTGAGCAGCCTCCTATCCTGGTCTGAGAGGACTCAGGGACCCCCCACATGTGTGAGTGAGGGGCTCCATATAAGGGTCCTTTGGAAACGAGAAATTGGAGCTGCCAAGGGAGTGTCTGTCTGTCCTCTCTCCGATTCTCCCAGCCTGTCCTCCTCCATCAGCCCAACATCTTCCAAGTCAGGCCTGGACACCAAATGCTGCAAACCTGCCCCTCTCCTACTCCACACGTCCTCCAAATCTGGTCAGGGGCCTGGGAGCCAGGGGATCTGACAAACGGAGGTGGCTTTTAGAAGAAAATCTCACAGTTTTTGTGTGGGACAAGGAGAACTGAGATGCTAACCCAATGGGGATTCCAAATCTTTGTAGCCTCCACAATATGAGGTTTCCTCTTGCTGAGCTGAGACTCCAGGCCTGAGGGATAAAAATCACATGCTCCTGCCCTCTGTCTCCCTCAGCCTTTTTAATCCTGACAAGGTCAGAGTTACTGGGAGAAGCAGGATGGACCCAGAGAGGGCTGGACCAGGAGCAGGTTTATGATGAGTCACTTCCCAGATGCCCCAGAAGGTCAGAAATGAAAGGGCCTCTGGAGGTCATGGCCAGATAGGTGCTCATTATTCAGACGAGGAAAGTCTTTCTCAGAAGTTCAACCTCTCAAGAGAACTGAGCCCCCACAGACTCAGACCCACCCCCTGACGGTCCCTCCCACCCTGACCACTAGACTGAGCAACTCCCTGGGATCTCCCCCTGCTCCTGGCTCCTGGTGGGTAGTGATGCTGTGGTTCTGAGATGGAGACACCAGGAAGTCAGTGGGTGGGGCCTCTGTCTTGTAACTTCAGTCTAATCTCATTTCCTCTTAGGTTCACCGAGTCTCATCCCATCCCTCTCCCTTTCTCAGCCCTGTCTGAGACTGCAAGGATAGGATTTTCCAGGATTGGGATGTTGCCGCCTATTTCCACCCTCTCACGGGCTAGACCATTGTCTGTGGAACCTCCCCTGTGCTCCAATTATTTCCATCGTATCCCAGACTTTCCTTAGACGGGGCCCAGAGAAGACCTTCTGAGCTCAGAGAGGACAGGGACAGGTGTTCCTCACCTGAGACCAGGAGCTCTGGGACCAGGTACCTGTCCCAAATCACCACCTCAACCAGCACTGAGACCCACTCAGTGGATCCCACCCCATATATCATAAACCAAGAATAGGGGATGTGGGGGGTGGGGCTGCCATTCTCCCACTTCAGGCTGACTGACCCACCCATCATCTGTCACCCTCTGAGCCTCTGGACCATATGGTCCCTCCCGGATCTCTGCCTGACTCCCAGCCTCCCTGGGGACACAAGCCTGTCCTTGAGTATCTGAGGGGTCATCACATCCTCTGAGAGACTCTCAGAACCTCCCTGGGTGGTCCGTGCTCCCTCTGAGAAAAGGGGTTTCAGTGACTCACCAGTTGTTGAGACGAGACCTGTGGGTGGGGGGCTGGGGAGCCAAGCAAGTCCTGGAAATGAGGACAGGAAAGGAGTGAGAGGCTGGGGCTGGCCCTGAAGTCCCAGGGTCTAACTCAGACTCTCCCCCTAGATCTGTCCTGTGCCACCCCAGGAGCCCCATTCTGCCCACCTGACGCTTTTAGACCCCAGAGGAGAGGGAAGGGAGTAGGCAGGGCTAGGAGGGGCTTTGAGGGGCAAATACCCTTTGGGTGAACCTCCGTCAGAGCCCCCTCACCCCCATCCCAGCCCAGACGTCTCTTGAGGACAGGGTCCGAAACAGATCATAGGGACAGAGGGCATAGGGCTGAGGAGCCTCACCTGAGACCAGGAGCTCCAGCGGGTCACTGGGATGTGACCACACGTGGGGGTAGTTCCCGTAAGAACCATAGCATCTGAACATCCACCTGCGGCTGGGGGTCACAGGAGCCACAGGGAACAGGGCCTGGAAATGCCCACTGGGGAGTCGCTGTGAGTCCACGGTCCAGGAGGGCTTGTGTTCTCCTTCCTTAATCAGAATGAACCTGTCAAATCCAGACTGTGAGCCACACTGGAGGGTCACGTTCCCTCCTGAGGTCACCACAGGGCTCAGCAGGGCTGAGAGGTAGAGTTTGCTGTAGACTCCTAGGAGAGGAGGAGGCAGCGTGTTAAACGGGGCTCACACCTCCCTCATATCCCCCAGGGCTGGACTGTGAGAGGAGAGACACCCCTTAGATCAGACTCCCTTCCTGAGGGCAGAGCCTGAGGCTGGGACCCCTGAGTGTCCTTTCACCTGTCACCACCAGCTCCAGGGGGTCACTTCTGTCTGACCGTTCTGTGAGGCAGTGATAGTAACAGTGATATTGTCCTACATATAGATCTGTCATGTGTGGGATGGAGAAATTTGCCTTATTCCAAGGCTCCCGTGGGTTCTGTCTGCTCCAGGGTGATGGTCTTCCATTTTTATCCAGATGATACTCCTGGGCCTCCAGGGTCCCCTGACACCAGATGGTCACCGGCTTCCCCCAGGGGACCGCAGAGTCTGGCTCAGCCCAGATGGTGGGTTTGGGGAGGGTCCCTGGAAGGAAATCAGAGTCTAGATCACAATATCCACCCCAGTTCCCCAGCTCTCAACCCCAGGACCCTCCCAGACGTCCCCCATTTGTCAGCCCCAAATTTCTGTTCTCCAACCCCAGCTGCATGGGTGTGGCCTCATGTCCCCAGTGAGAAGGTGGGACCTGGGACACCTGGAGACAGACTCACCTGCCTGCACTGGTGTCCTTGGGCCCACACTCAGCCATGGAAGAGAGTTCTCTGTGAGAGATCTGTCCCTGAAGCCTGAGGAGAATACCTCCTCCCCATGAGCCTCCTGAGTCCTGGGGTCTCCTGACAGGCCGGGGCCTGGCTGTGGGGTGTGGTCCCTCCCAGACTAGGGCTTCACCCCCCCTCCTCAAATCTCACCAAGGCAGAGGAGGGCCATGAGGGTGGGGGTCGTGGAATCTCCTCCCTCTGGCCACAGCTGTGCAGATAGAGGAGACTAAGGTGCCTGGAAGGACAAACAGAAGCACTGGGTGGGGTCACTCAGATGCTGGTCCTCCCTGTCATGTGGTTGTTACATCAGCAGCCCCACAGGAAGGGGAACTGCCCCACCCCAGGAACCTGGCTCTCATTTACAGTTTGGAGCAGCAAATAGAGGCAGAGATGCCCCTTCCAGGTGAGGATGACCCAGGGCATGTCCTTCCCTATCAGAGCCTCCTCCATGGGGTCTCCTTGATCCTCAGCCCGTCCATGAGCACATCCCTGTGGGGTCCTCGCCATAGATAGTGGTCATCCAGGCCCTGGAGATGCTTCAGGGGAGAGGCAGGATCCTGCTGCACTGCGAGCTCAGATCAGCAGAAACACGCACTCAACATCTCACCGTACAGTTCTGGCCAAGGTCATCATGACAATGAGCACAAAGGAGAAATACAGTGAAATAAGGGAGGAAAACATCACTCCTCCCCTGGTGTGGAGTGTGGGCTTTCTTTCTATCACAGCCCCCTTCACAGACTTCTCTTTTTTCTTGCAACAGCGTTCACTCCCATATCTCTGGGAACAAACCACTGAGTCATTCCTGCCTCCCTGGTGCCCTGTGTTCCCTCGAGCTGAGCTCTCTTCCTCATCCTCGGGTCCTGTCTTCATCTTTAGGGGTCAATATGTGGGTAGTGCTCTGAATTATGGGACAAAGCTGATTCTTATTTAAATATTCCTCTGTCCTCCACTGCCCATGTGACCTTGAGCATTAACACCCAATCTATGAGCCTCAGTTTCCTCGTCTGCAGCATGTTGTCAGGAACCCCACTCCTCACTCAAAGTGGTCATGGTATCAGTGGTCCTAGGACATGGGAGAGATCAATCATTGTTAATTTCCAGACCTGAAAAAAATGTTTGGGGTTTGAGATGTGAGAGAATCAAGATGTTGGACTCCACAGTCAGGGTGAATGATTGACATGTCCACTCAGGAGTCCCCAGCTGCTCCTAGCACTGAGAAATGCTGCTTATAATATTTCTGAAATATGTGGCCACACTCCATTGCAGAAAAAGAGAAATGAAAATTCCAAAACATAGAGGGAACCAAAACAAAAAACTACCAATGCTGAGTGGCCACAGGTGCCTGGGACCATCAAGCAGTCATTAGAATGGAGGTTTCCACCTCTGCGTGGACAGGAGAGGGACCCAGGTCCTCACAGGCAGGGAGAGGAGCAGGGCTCAAGGTGAAAGTTGGAAGCTGAATTCTACTCTCCCCGCATTTGAAGACAGACACTGGGATATGTCTGCCCACTGACCCAGGGCCATGGTCAGCACTGAGCCATGTTCCATGTGTGTGTGAAACAGATTCAATTCAGTATAGTCTCACCTGGGCCTCTGACCATGTGTGAGCGTGGGGCTCATGGTGGAGCCATTCCTGCCAGCACACCACTAGTCAGATGCTAAGTTTGGGAGAGAGGAGGCCATGGGTCAGGGCAGCTGCACCAATCCACCCCTTTCAGCCCTGAACATCAAGAGAGTCCTGGGTAACTCTTTATAGAAATCAGATGTGTGGGAGGTGAGCATCCATGAGGAATGGGCATCAAAGAGAAACCCAAATAGTGCTATGAAAGACAGTCTACAGAGTCAGTAATGAGGGCTGTCATATCCAAAGAAATAGACTACTGGAATATATAAAACTCAATTTAAAATGTGTGTTTAAATATCTGAAAAAAATAAAGGAGGAAATTGAATTCTTTAAACAACAGACGTTATACTACAGAACAATATATATTTTAGAAATGAAATTAGCAAATCCTTAGAGGTAAAGAATAATACTGTCTTTTAACACACTCAAAATGTTCTTTTCATCGAGGAGATGGTACAGCTGAAGATCCAATTATAAAAGTGGAATACAATATTGAGGGAAATTTGTAGGATGCAATGCAGAAAAACTAAAATTAGAAAATTAAGATACATGGGAACAGAAAGAGATGAACAACGTGTATTGTGAGTTTCAGGAGGAAAGCAGTGAGAATGATGTCTGCAGCAGTCCTGGAGGGAAATGGTGGGCATTTTATGGAGATGTAGAAGGAACATGTGAGTGCTCAGGTGTCTGAGTACATAAATGAAACGTGAGTCTTGATGTATCATAGCAAAATGAAAGAAATTCATGGAAGAAGACATTTCAAAAAATGGCAAGAGATATGGGAAAAGTACATTCAAGGAATTAATCATGAGTGAAGAATTCTATACTCACCCAAATTATTATTAAGGGGCAAAGGTGAAAGGGTCAGCAGGGGAGAAATCCTTACATACGAGGAGACCTGGGGCACATACAACCTGTTTGGATTCATGTCTCACATGTTAAACCCACCACGTCAAGCTTCATCTTCATGAGAGATGAAGAGGGTGTTTAGGGCAGATCCTTAACTATCAGATATATTTTCTCCTCCTCCAAGTTGGGTCATATCCTTTACTTAAAAAAAAATGTTTTCAAGTATTAATTAAAAAAAGAAGAGTGAACATAAAGCATTTCAAGATATACAAGGTTTTAGACATTTTACTGTTTACATGCTCACCAAAGCAAAACTAAAATACCTAATTAAGCCAAAAGAACAACAGACACAAAACAGAGAAAGTAAGTTGCAAAAGTGAGAGAAAGATGGCAAAACAAATAAACATTGGAAAATTATATTTGTATATACATGCACATATACATTTACATTTAGGAAAACTGAAACAAAATATTTGGAATATTTTTGTGTGTGTATGTCTGTGTGTGTGTGAGAGAGAAAGATTTTGAAAGAAAGTAAGTACTAACATTTCAGCTATTGTGTAACATCCTTTTATTCTCTAAAGGAGAGAGTCAATAAAACAATGTTCAAAATTATAAATGTAAAAACCAATATTAACAATGGGAATGACTACCTAATATTAGAAATGAAATGTATAACCTTCAAGCTGGTTGATATAATTATATAACACAGATAAATCTTGATCAAACCAAAAGTGGTCGAGAAAGTTGAGATGAAAGTAGGAGAATGCAGGATATCTTAATCCATAATGAACCAACATTTAAATAAAATGGTGGTAATAATTTAAAATTATTCTTTTCTGACCAGACATTAAAAGATTAATTGGCTGACTCAAGGATTAGATCTAAGCATGCCTCAGAAAAAAACAGATATGTATAACAATAAAATATCATCTAAAACAATATCATTAAAAAGTATTTTAAAGCAATAAAGGATGTATTACTATGATTGAATAAAATTAGCTGATAGTTACAAATATTCAAGAAAATTGAAGGTAAGACAAAAATGTTTTTATAAGGAAAAATTATTTTATCTTTTTAAATAATATTTTCACTTCAAAGACATAGCACTCATAAACAACATTCATCTAATCACTGGTCATGGAATACATAAAGCATAAGTAAATACATAATTGGAGATTCAAACAAACATTTATAAGATAGATTAAGGGGATGAAGAGAAAATTTTATGAGAGTAAATGACATACTTAAATGCTTGATCTAGCGTGTAGAAATATCGTAAAGCTTTGCATTATCTATGCTATATGAATATGCATAAAATGATCTGTGATATATATGTAAAATTAAATAACTAACTAAATAAATAAAATATGACGTTATGTGTATAGCAACAAGAAGGGAATGCATATATTTAATGCCTATGTTCTACCCAAAGTACTAAGCACTTATTAGACAAAAAAGCAAATATCTCCAATTCTTTTCATATTTCTAGCTTACAAATTATATTCTCTGAGTATGCCGCAATTTAACTAGAAATCAATAAAAAGAAGATATTATAAAAACATCCCAAACTTCATGAAATTAGTAAAACATTCAAATATGAAATATTTGTTTCAATTTATGAAATATTAAGAAAAGCAATGATGAAATTACATCATATGAAAACTTGAAGAATGTCAGAATAAAAAAAAGCACACATACAGAGAGCTGTCAGCAGGACAGCAGAATAAGAGTTCCTACCATCATGCCCTCACAGAACCATGATTTTGACAGTCAAAATCGAAGTTAGGTGAACCCCATATATAAAATAACCCCAAGTCTGTATTGATGACCTCCATCTCAATTCAGATTCATGGGACATGAGGGGTTCAGAAACTCACATGAACTCATTTTTAGTTCATAATTACACATCTTGTGATATTGGGAAATGTGTTTAGAGATCGAGTGTGTCACCTGGGTAGGGGTTCATTGTGTGATTAGACTCAGGTGAATCTGAACAGGTAGAGGGTGATCATGTTTTGAGGGAAACTCAATGCCAAAGTGTGAAGTATTTGCTATCACAGATCAAGAGCAACTTTGGTTGATATTCAGTGTCTAGTGAAGGCTATGGTTTTCTCCATCCTACTTCAATCCCACCTCACTAAATTGTATGGTATATGAACATAAGTTATAAATAGAAATGTGTTCTTTACCAATAACAAAAACAGACTTATGAGTCAATAGATGAAAGTCAAGAAGAATATTACTCATGTTCCAGAAAACCCTATGGTTTCCATCTTTTGTGTGTGTGTGTGTGAGGAATATTGGCCCTGAGCTAACAACTGAGCCAATCTTCCTCTATTTTTCATATGTGGGATGCTGCCACAGCATGGCTTGATGAGTGGTGTGTAGGTCCACACCTGGGATCTGAACCCATGAACCCCAAACCTCCAAAGTGGAGCATGCAGACTTAACCTCTACACCACCGGGTCGGCCCCTGTGGTTTCCATCTTGAACAAAAGGTCCCAACATCTCTTTATAGTATACCACCATTTTTAATCATGATTTTTTCCAAGAGCTAGTTTAGCAGTACACCACCTGACTTTCACTTCAAACACCAGTGCGCTCATTCAAACTGTTGGTATTTCTGGAGAAACCATACTGGGTATCATCTGATGTGGAAAGCAGGACTTAATGGTTCCAGAGAGGGTTTTGGGGTGTTATTTTGCATTTATCTGTTCCAATCTGAATCAATTTTCACCCATTTATTCAGTTATTTAAAACAGATTCTGTATTCTGAGCTGAAGAGATGCAAACACCAGGGAATGTGGTAAGTGAAAACAGAGAAAAATGTATTACATGAAAGTGGACCAGAGCATGAAATTGGGTATAGGCGTGGACTCAAACCTTCCATGTGGAGGTAGCATCATGTCATAGGGATGAGAAATGAAGGTCAATCAATAGTGGTATGGAAGTAAATTACCACAGTCTCATTACC